GACCTCCCGATTTGGCTGGGGACGCTCCTGCCCTCGCACGCTTGGTAACCGCAGCAGAAACAGGCGGCTCTTGCGGTCTCTTTCCAGCAGCTCGCGTCACGGGGGCAGACGCAGCAACCCCCTCAACTACCACACTCGGTGCTACCGTTGCAGCGGTCGGGGGAACAACACTGCCAACGACCGTGTCCGGGGAAGAGACGGCACCCGTCCTCACCTTCACCACCTTCTTCTTTGTCTTAGGGCGGTTAGCGGCAGCAAGATCCCGCAGCCCTGCAAAAAGAACGCATAAGTAAAACGACATGAGAAGGAGGAACACATAAACAGTCAGGAAAATTATTACTAACCATAAAAACCACGAACATGCTGGTATGCACTCTCCGGGCCGCTGTGCCGCACACGTAATTGAAAACCCTCAACGATGCGGTTCACATGTTCCTTCACCGATTGGGGAAACTGGGCGGACGCACACCACGCGTCCTTGGTACCAACCGCGTACCCAGTCGGCAAAAAAGAACTCCCTGTACCAAGGAGAATCCAACTTGGGCGACCCTTTGATAAACCCGACGTAAGCCTCCCGCCTCCCAATCGACCAGCAGTTAGTCGAATCGTGAATGTTGTAAATCATCCGGAAGGCATCAAAGGACGGTTCTTCCCCGAGGCGGTCGCACGCAAGCCGATACATCACCGAATGAAAAATGATGGTCGGTGAAAGGCGCCCCAAAGTACAACCAAGCAAATGCAATGTTTTGGTCAAAATAGGGTCAAGGGGAAACCGTAAACCCAGCTTCACCTGCTCCACATGGATAGGAATCCACCCAATCGGACATGACCCAGAGCGGCTCGCTTCTGAGAGAGCCGCATAATGCCAGTCAGGAGGAAGATTAAGCGACCTCAAACGAAAGAGCACCTGCTCGGGCTTGAAGACCGTCTTGTGCTTCGGACCCAAAGCGAACACGTCAGCGGGAACCGGTTGACCGCTCCACATCCCCTCATGTCGAAACACAGTATACACAGAGTCCTTGACGGCAATCGAAAGCGGTTCTGATCCCGCGGGCTCCACTATTTCTAATGAAGATGACGTACTTAGGAGTGCCTCAGAGCGCACACCCTCACTGTCGACCGCCTCATCCTCATCCAATGACATACTATCTAAATCTACCCGACCAAAATCACCCATGTTATCCCCAACCGCGGATGAAGTGGCCATACCCCCAGCTGGTACAGGGCGGATGTTAGCAAAAGAGTTATCTAAATCTAAATCGACTCCGACAAGACAATCGCGCAATTCAAAACCACTCCCAATGTATAATTCTAGCTCGGATAAATCCCACACGCACTCAGAGGCGGTTCGAGTGGGAGAAGAGCGGGTCATACCTTGGGAAATAGAGGCGGCTCCTCCAGAAGGTCCCGCCTTCTTCCTCAAAGGGACGGAAGGAGACAAGGGTACCCTCGTAGCGGCCTGATTCTTCTCGGGGACCGCCTCAGAGGTTGTATTCACGAGAGACGCCTCAGCGGCGGCGTCGCTTCCCGCCGCGGCGGAGATGGTGTGATCATCGCTTGACATCTTCAAGCGCCACCAGAACAGACACCAGATCCGCCACCGAAATTCAAACCAGCAGATCGAACGCCCCGGCGAGGGAGAGATCGCACGAAAACCAAGAAAAACCAAATGAAATCAGAGGAAGAAAGAAGAACGAACTGAAAAACAAAACACATAGGGGTCGCGGAACTCACCTGGACACGTCCGAGTTTATAAAGCTCAACAAAAAGGGGAGCTCCAACTCTGTCGAAGAAGAAGAAAGGAAGGAGACGAAGAGTTTCCGAAAGAGGAAGCAAAAATGGCGGAAAAAGTTCTCCTATGGCCATTTAAACGAAAGAAAGGGGTTACAAATGCAAGGATGACGTTTCGCCTCCCCCGCGTCAGAGCACCACTATCGAGGCACGACACGTGGCCTACGCCCGAACGCAGGGAGAGGCACATGTTCCTGGGAATCGCCTCTCAGGCGCTCCGACTTCACGCACACACGCCAGGGGCAAGCGGGCGATCACGGGCAGGGCGACCCACAACCGCCTAATGATACCAAGGCAGTCAATTAGCCGCGCGAGCCTAAAGCCTCTCACGCCTAAGGGGCAAATGTTAGGGCAATCGTTAAGACCTCTGGGCCTCCAAGCCCATAATCACCAAAAAGCCCATTAAAGTCAGCAAACCCAATCCGAGTTACCAAGAGGCGGTCTAACCCTCGGGCACGAGAAGACCGCCCGACAATAAACGGAAACAGAGCAGGACACCCGACAGTAAGTATGTACAACGTCCTGACAACAGAGTACGGATACTGGCAAGGGTACAGGTCTGATCATGCATTTATGAAAAGTCAGAGGCGTCCAAAGATCGCCCGACAGAAGGTAAGGCAGCCCGACATAACGAAACTTGTCCTCACTCCTTGGCCTTGAGAGTATAAATGTCCATCGACGGATCACATTTATGGTAACTCCTATCTACCCCATTCTCTCTCTTATTCTCTCTATCCACTTCTCTCTCTAACTTAGGCATCGGAGGAGGTCCCAGGGCTCCCCTGAGGACCTTTGTTGCAGGACTTCGAAGGTCGCCTCTCATCCTCCCAAGACCGCACGAAGACAGTGAAGCCTCGCAAACCGCCCGGTACTTACCAGGCCTAAACAAGTTAGCCAATAAGTTACTCTATAAAGTGATGCACAATAAACCTCTTTTTCTAGCACACTTGAGGGGTGTTTGGATGCCTGGTAGTACATCGGTTAATGTGAGAATTTGATGCAGAGCCAGACAATGTTTCTTCTTGGAAATTCAAGCTGGACTCAAGGGTTATAAGTTGTTGGTCTTACATGACAATAGAATTTTCACATCCAGAGATGTTAATGTCTATGAAACTATCTTACCATGCACCACAAATGATACAAATTCCTTTTCTGATCAACCTTTTAGGGGTCGTTTGCATGAGTCATTTGCTCAAATATAAACATTTGAGAAATGTAGACATTTGCGAATGTAAACATTTTCAAATTCATTGTTTGTTTAACAGTTTTAGATGAGTCATTCATAAATGGGTCATTTGTATAATATTACCATTTTCCCCTTACATTTAATATTTCATTATCTTGTTTCATATCCTCATAAAACCAACCACGTAACAAAATTATTTTGCAACCAACAAAACATATGATTACGAGTCATGTATAATACTTTCTAATATTAACTAATATTTTTATGTTAAATTTCTTTATAAAAGCTAACGACTACAGGAGTCTCACGTTCGGGTTAATTACGACTTATTCTTGAAGGTGAAAACTCCGATGACAAGAAGAGGTAGAGTCACGAGTAAAATTTGACGGAAAGAAAAAAATTCGATAATAGACAAAAGAATGGTAGGGGAAATAAGTAATAGAAAGACAAGGGTAAAAGTGAGTTTATGGAAAAGTGACACAGACATAATTGAAAAGTTTTGCTAAAGTAATGAGTCATTTGGCAATGACTCATAGATAGGAGGCATTTGGAAATGACTCAATAGAGTCATTTGAGACTTTCGTATGAGCCAAATGACTCATGCAGTTTTTTGTAAGTAAATTAAATGAATCATTTGGGACCAAATAACTCTAGCAAACAACCCCTTACTTCTTTTCCTCACCTTCTCACAATCAATCTCAACACCAAATGTATCAAAGTTCGTTTACATTCCCAGCTTGTAACTAAGTCTTAATACATTCCTTAATTTAATTCATCTTCAGATGAAGGGGAAACCATGAGGAATGTGTTTTCATACGATGAAGGGGAAACCCTGAGGAATTTGTTATTCATACACTACAATAGTCACACCAAATGAGCAAGATCACTGTGAGTACTTTGACTATGAAGAACAAAAACTTTTACCACAAGCTGATGTGAATCGAGAATCGAGATGATGCATTACCAACGGAAGGCAGGCCTTTGAGAGCCATTACATTGCCAAGTAAGTGAAACACAAGAATGATGGATCTATTAAAGAAAGTTTTCAAGCCAGGTTGTTGGCAAAGGGTTATACCCATGTATATGTAATAGGTTTCTTAGACAAGGTTTCACCTGTGGCTAAGATAAAATTGTTAAAGCTTTCCTGGCTGTAAAATGTGTTAGTCATTGGTCTCTTAAACAATTTGATATCTCAAATTCTTTTTTGCATGTTGATTTGAATATACCTTTGAGAGTATCGGAACCTACGCATGGAACAAAAAAGATGACTTGTAGATTAAGGAATTCCTTGTATGTACTAAAGCAAGCTTCACGAAAGTGTTTGCCAAATTAATTAACAAATTTTCTAATGAAGAATGGGTTTGCACAATCAGCTTCAAACTATGCACACTCTTCACTAGACGAGAACATGAAAGAATCACAGTGTTGTTGGTCTATGTTGATGATATAATAATAAGTGTCGATGGAGCAAAAGACATAGATCATGTCAAGACAACCTTGAGCAAAGAGTTGAAAATCAAAATCTTGTAACCATTGAAGTATTTTCTGGAATTGGAAGTTAGCAAAGTACTACAATTAACTGTTTGATGAAACATGTTAATTGGAATCAAAGGTTTGTCAATCACCAACCAACACCAAAGTAAAGCTCACTGCTAGAGGAAGCTTATTGGAAGACGTGGAATGCTACAAAAGATTAGTGAGAAAACTTCATTATTAAACCATCACAAGGACATACATTAATTGCCTTTGTAGTCTAACAACTTTGTCAATATCAAATAAATCCTCGCAATAAGCATTTTCAAGTTGCATACAAGGTCCTGAGATACTTGAAGACTTATCCATACCAAGGGATTCACTTTAGTAGCAAAGATGAGTTGAAAATGGTAGGTTACCGTGCCTTTAATTGTACGGGTTGTCCTGACACACGACACCCTATTTTAGGCTACTAAACATTCATAAGAAGTTATTTATTGAATTAAAAGATATAATGCAAACCGAAGTCTGAAGATCAAATTCGTGAAAGTATGTCCCATGCAAATGAATTTGTAAAAATGTGGGATCTTAGCGAAACTGGTGATCATAAAACAAAAAGATGTATAACGATTAATGTACATAACGCTCTACAATAATCATTACCTTCTCCTCACCAAAAAGGAGTAGCAATATATAGCTAGCTAGCCACTCCACTGTGTTACATGTGTGTGTGCACACGATCCATCGAGTGCTCATTACACTACCTCCCTCCACCGTTATTTTTTTTGTTGTTGTTGAAATTCTCGCAACAAAATGAACCAAAACAGAAGAGGAAACCCCAAAAATCACGAAAAACATCAACATATATATAGCAAGCTCAAAGCTGAGCTGGACTGCAGGGCATCAACCCAATAACCCTTGGAAGTCATCAACGGAATCCATAATCATCATTTGAATGAAACTCATGTCGTACTTTTCATTCTCATTCTCATCATCATCATCATCAGCCGCCGTGCTAATAATGGAGGATCCAGAGGCAGTCGCCGCCGCTTCCCTTTGGTTTAGGGTTTGACGACCGGAGCTCGCCACGTCGCTCAAGGACTCCTGTTGCTGCTTCACTACCGATGGAGCAGGAGTTGCTGCCGAGGAGGATCCGGACAATGACGCCAGGAAAGGGGTGGTGGTAGTCGTACTGTTGTTGCTGAAGCTGATGAGGTGGCAGCTGGCCGTGGAATCAACGGCGGAGTCCATCAGGAAATGTTGGTGCGAAGAGGTAGTGAAGTGATTGTTGCAGGTGTGGTGGGCCGAGTAGGTGGTCCGGTAGAGCGGGTTGGGCCGGTCTTGGAGCATCTGGATCTGCTTGGTGGCTGGGCAGTTGTGGTCGAACTTGTGAGTGCACCTGTAGTAGTGCCTGGGGAAGTCGGACTCCAGAATCTTCTTCTGCCCGTACTTCCGCCACGCGTAGCCGTCGTCCACTAGGGTTCGGCTCTCTTTCACCCAGGATCGGGATGCGGCAACCTTTCTGGAAAATCATTCAGCACAAAGATGAATCAGTATAAAAGTAATTATGTAATTTCTATCATTCCAGTGTTCGTTGAATGCTTTTTTTAGAGCCATGTGATGCTGGCAAGAAGGGAAATTCGACAATAAAGGGAGATTGGACAAGATTGAACAGATAGATTGTTGTAAGTTATCACTCAATAGATGAGATGGGTTGGTACCCATATAATTGCGCAATAAACACTAGTTCGTCATAAATTTCTACTTGATCTATATAGATCGAAAATAAAAATTTCTCAAATTTGGAAGAAAAAAAAAACCCTCTCCTCTAAATCAGTAACCCTAAAAGCCAATGAATCTGGAAATAAATTCATGTGTGCAAAACCCATCATTAAAATGTCAAAACTAAGCATATATAACCATCTTAATTAACTACAACAGTAAACAATGGATCGAAAAAGGGTTGTTACCTTTTCTTGGTGCATCCAGCTGGGCGGTCGTTCTTGCTGGTGGAGGGGTTGCTGTCAGTGTCACCGGAGGAGCTCTCCGACTTGCGGGGACCCAGCTGAGAGACCTCGTCGGAGGACTCGGCCTTGGTAGCTGTAGCTGTAGCAGCAGTAGTGTTGAGGAGCGAGATGGTGTGAGTGAAGGTGGAGAGGATCTTCCCCACCAGATCTTCAGCGCACCCGCCGCCGCTGCGCGCGATGAAGGACTGCTTGGAATCAAGAGAGAGAAGGAGGCTGAGCTGGCAAGTGAAGTCCCGACCTTTTAGGAGCTCCTGGATCGCGTTGTCCCGCCGACCAGCCACCTGCCTTTGCATTTTTCAGTTCAGCAGCCAGCCGATCGAGAGACTAATTTGTAGATAGGGATTTGGAGGAGAAATGGTGCCAGAGAGAGAGAAAGTTGGGGAATGAATGAGGTGTTAGGGGATCGAAGTCGGAGGGGGCTTTTTATATATTCAAGACCGGGAGCCGGGAAAGGAGGAACGGATTGGATTGGGTGAGACGATGTACAGGGAAAGCGGGATGAACCTCTGTACGAAACTTCCTTAAATTAATACTCTCTCTCTCTCTCTCTCTTTCACACTCACACTCACAGTCCCAGTCGCAGGTGTTTGTCAGGAAACACCCCACGCGCAAGCGGGTTGTTGTTTTCTTTCTTCCTCGCATTTTTGACTTTCGAATCAAATCCGCATTATTATTTCTCGTCTTCTCCCATTTTGTTTGGTTTCGTTTGTTTAAGGTGTGTGCTCGTCCTAACACGATGCTTACGTTAGATTTGAAGGGTATTCCATTCCACCAATTAATCTCTTAGACTAATCTTATCTCTTTCTATAGTGTTATTATATAGCAGGTGAGGAAGAGGAAGAAGAATATAGCAGGTGGGACGGGAGTTTTTTTTCTCTCTCTCCCTCTCTTTCTTTTTGTTTATCGACCATATCATGTCATCTATTCACGTCTTCCCCCCGGGGCTTGCTATTTGCCGCCAAACAAATTGCTATTTGCCGCCAACTAAAAAAAAAAAAAAGTATATATGTACATCTTTGGTTAAGAAATTTCACAATCTACAACATATCCAACTTTCAGAAAACGTATTGAATCAGAAAAAATCGACGCTCGCCGGAAAAGTCGCCGGAAAACCATCGGGAAAGCCCATCCTCGACGTAAACTGCGGACACGCATCCATGAATTATCACTAAGCAGGTGCGTCAACCTCCCGTCATCCTCAATCGTCGGAAAACAAGTAAGTTTACTTTTTCCGGCAAGTTTTTCAATTTTCCGGCAATTTTTCCAGTTTTCCGGCGAAAAACACGGTGGGCCGAAAAAAATTTGCGGCCGGTGCGCCGCCGGGCCGAAAAAATCTTGTGGCCGGTGCGCCGCCGGACCGAAACTTTTTTGCGGCCGGCGCGACGCCCGGCCGAAATATTTTTTCGGCCCGTCGTCGCCCCGGTCGCAATTTTTTTTCGGCCGGTCGCCGAACGCGCCGCCGTGAATTTTTCCGGCGGCGCGTTCGGCGACCGGCCGAAAAAAATTTGTGGCCGGAACGCCGCCGGGCCGAAAGAATTTTTCGGCCGGGCGTCGCTCCGGCCGAAAAATTCTTTCGGCCCGGCGGCGTTCCGGCCAAAAATTTTTTTTCGGCCCACCTTGTTTTTTCGCCGGAAAACTGGAAAAATTGCCGGAAAATTGAAAAACTTGCCGGAAAAAGTAAACTTACTTGTTTTCCGACGATTGAGGACGACGGGAGGTTGACGCACCTGCTTAGTGATAATTCATGGATGCGTGTCCGCAGTTTACGTCGAGGATGGGCTTTCCCGATGGTTTTCCGGCGACTTTTCCGACGAGCGTCGATTTTTTCTTATTCAATACGTTTTCTGAAAGTTGGATATGTTGTAGATTGTGAAATTTCTTAACCAAAGATGTACCTATATACTTTTTTTTTTTTTTTTTGGTTGGCGGCAAATAGCAATTTGGTTGGCGGCAAATAGCCGTTCACCTTCCCCCCCAAAAAAGAAACATTATTGCTTCCATGTTTAAAAATGAAAAACAATTTGTCTTGCATTAACCAACTAGCTGATCAATACCTCTATAATAAGTCTTATATATACATAACCTCGCTTGAGTATGCCAACCACTTGCATTTTGTCTCTACTTAGCCACAAGTTGCAACAATATAACACCTTCAAACGATTGTCAAAAATGAATATGAAAAGCCTCCAAATTACAAATTACGCATTTTAACAGAAAGTATAGCTTAACAATCACATGCCCAATAGTAGTCATTGTGCCTTGGGTTAGCTTAATTAGGCCAAAGATGGTGCATGTTACCACCTTCCCAGCAAATATATAGTACTACATGTCGCCTTTCTGGGCAACTGTACATCGCTTACGGATGAATGTGCTCAACAAAGTATTAAAATACTATCTTGATGTACGTATTAGAAATATCACTTAATACTTTCATACGTACATCAAGATAGTCCTTATAAAATAAATAGAATTTCATCACTTGTACACAGGAAAAAAATGAAATTCTCAAATCTCCACTCATGTCGATACGCCACTAACTACTGATCTTTGATTAACAAGTGTACCATAGTCAAACTATTAGTATAGTGCTTCAAGGTCCTATTTCTTAGCGCTTTAGATGAGAAAGGGTACTCAAATGCTAAACACTATATATCTAGCAAGTTTAGTTTGTTTCAATTCGCAAATATTATCTATACAACTACTAAATAAAGTGGCATAAACAAACAAAGGGCAACATTGATGAGCTAACTTCTTGATAGTGAAAGTTCACCTACATGCTTATATATGAGATATAATACTATTGATGCAATCCTAGAATTCACAACCTATCATGTGCATTGCGCTATCCTTAGCTTATTGATTCACAATTAATGCAATACCAGTAACTTTTTGATTTGGGCAATGAAGTGAATATCTCTTCACCCGATCTAATCCACCAAAGCATAATTAACAAACCCTATGAATCCCACTACAAGGTTTTACCCAATGCCAATAGAACTTGTGGCTCACTTTCATGTAATTCAATCATTCCTTTCCAATTATGAACACTCTAATTGGCCAAATGAGATATTCTCTTAATAAGGTCAATGTGGAATTCAACCCAAATTTATCAAAAGTTGAGCAAAACATGATCAATCATAAATGGATATGGAAGATGGTAGTTCATACAAGCCTTGGATTACAATCAATTGTGTGTTCTAACACATCACATACTATATCAAGGGTTCATCTCTATCTTGGTAATTAGAGTATTTACCTCATATAAAAGGGAAAACTACACAAAAAGGAAGAATAAGACATGCTCATGCTTATAATCCTCTTCTCCCTCTGGCTCACTTCCTCTCATTAGTCTCGAGTATCATTAAGCTTTGGATAAATGAAAAAGAAGGCTCCATGATCGCCCTCTTTCTGGAACTCAAACACCCTATGTTTCTCAATCCAAAATTAAACTCCCGTTGGAGAAAAGAGTCCTTCTCTAAAATCCATCACAACTCTAAACACGTACAAAACCTAAGAAATAGTGGTCTGCTGGTTGCGGTTAAGTCTAAACTGCAATCGGAAAATATTTCTTAGGTTTTTCCTTGAAAACACGTCAAACCGCTGCCTGCATGGAAGTTGTACTCGGGTTGGTACTGGAGTCCTTCTTGTTGGTTGTCATGGTATCGTTGGGCTTCTTCTTTATATGATGGGAAGGATTGATGATGACATCCACCTCCTTCTTGGTACTCATTGTAGGAATAATGATCATGGTAACCTTGATAGAGATGATCTTCATATACTCCACCCCCACCGTGGATACCAGATGTTTGTCCATCTCCAAAATGACCTCCACCGCCTTCAACCTCCTCAGTGTAAACAAACATCTCTGCTTTGGAAATGTTATTGGCATTCAAAAATTCGAGCATGACATCAACTTCCTTCTGAGTGGTTATGAGCAATTTCTCATGCCACAACGACCCCCCTTATCTGTTTGGATATCGATACACCATACGATCAACTCTCCTTTTGCCCTCCATACAAGTAACTGTAGTACACATTTGACGGAGCTCTTAAAATTGTGTTTCTCAAATAAACGATCGTTTATTGAGAAAACATTGGAGGTGTTTTATTCTAACTTTCTTGCAAAGGGCTTCATTCGTTCTCCACTTCTCTCCAATCAAGTCAGAATTGGTCCCTATATGAGTAGGCTATATAATATGAACAAAAAGAGTAAACTAGCATTAATGTGGCAAATCATGAGATTTCGTAGAGGAGAAAACAACCAACACTAAATGTAGCATGAACAAAATATGTACAATATCTAATCTATCACACACCCTATCTTATTCATATAACAGGGACTTCTAGGTGTAAGATTCAAGTATTGATTAATCCCGATTCTTCATTACAAATCAATAATTTTTTCGAGGGAAACATATCAAAAATTCTGATTTACCCATAATTTATGTTGTACATTCAATATAATAATTATTCCACAACTTAATTCCCTACCTTAACTATTAATAGAAGCTTTACATTGGTGTATAGTTTGCATGGATGACAATTAGTAATACCCAAGCTAAATTTTGATTATAGTATCAGAGAAATAAAACTCAATAATTCAAATCCATTATCTATTTTCTTTTAACATACATTTCTCTACCAATTTGTTTTTTCAAATGAAAAAATTGTAAATTTTTTCCTTAAATGATTAAAATTTATAATTATATCCCCGACATAGCAGGTTTGCGTAAAAAGGGTGACCCTCTCTAGCAATTTTCACCACAAAATCGCAAGCAACTTAAAAGACAAGGAAAAATTATGGATTCTGACAAAAAGAAAAAATTGTGAATTATGATCACAATATACGCGACAAAAATGCAGATCATACCAAATATATAGAGTAAAATAAAATAATGTTCAAACAAGGAAATGAGCTTGACAATTGATTGGAACTTTGTGAGGCCATAATGTTGCGCTTAGTTATCGATCAGGATAACTTTTAATGGGTAGAATGTCACAGTTTATTTGTAGGTGACTTTCAAGGCTATATCTTTCATCTAGCTAGGGATGATTTTAAGAAGAGGGCATATTTTGGTTTTTGATTAGTAATTTGTAAGTTTGTAGGGAGAGTTTAGGGGTTTTGAGTATTATTTTTATATTTTAAATATTTTCATAATTATACACATCGACACTAAAATTAGCAAGCAAAGCCAATTACAAATCTTGGCTTCATCAAACTAAGTTAATTCTTCATTCTCTTGTCGCTATGTCTCTGAATCTATATACCCCTATGTTTGGGACTTTTTCTATTCACGAGACATGGATTATTTTTGGAAAATTCTTATTTTCTCATCTCCTTATTGTACTTTGAATCCTTATATGCTTGTTCTTTCTATGATGTATTACTATGTGTATTGATTATAATAATATCATGGGATACAAGAAAACTAATCTCGTGTAGTAGGTATCATAATTAAGTGTGTATAGAGGGGAAAGTACACATTAG